ACGTAATATTACTGAAGATATTATTCATATTTTATATATTCCATAATAAATTCTTTTTACCAAATGGTTTGTTGGAAACGTTTTTCTTTCATTTCCATCAAGAAAAATATTCATATCTTCTTTTCCTTTTTTTACAAACTATTGACTATACATCTGGTAGATATTTCGCAGTAGAGATTCAAAAAGCTTAGAGATAAAAAAGAATATAAGAGAAAATAGCAATCAAATACTATTATTGTTAATGACAGAGAACAATACTTACGATATTGTTCTGTAGTTGTCATTGGTTGTATTACATCACGAGCTTTTAGTACAACTAGAGTAAGATGTGCAACAACATCTTGTGAATCATTCTTATGATCTTCAAAAATTATAAAATAAGTTTTACCTGTAATATTAAACAATACTTTATCGATTAAAATTACTTTTTCTACTACTTGATATAGTTTTAGTGTATTATTATTAGCTCACACCGATAACGTACTACAAAAAAGAGAAAGAAAAACAAGATTCTATATTCAATTATTTTATGTTTTGTTTTTTCTATCATACTTTTGTATCTCATTCGGAACAAAAATATCAGTTAATAATAATTACTAAAAAAATAAAGAACAAATTGAATAAAATAGAACGTTTAGTTAATTAATTTACTAGGTGAAAAATTTTTAATTCTAAATTTTATTTTGGTTGAAATAATTGTGATTGTCAATTGTTTGATGATGTTTTTACAGTTGAAAATCGTTAAATAAAACTTTTAACAATTCTTCTCCACTTGCTATCTAAACAAAATGGATAACAAATTTAAAATTAGAGTATTATCCATTCCGAATATCAATGGACTCTATCGTATGATCAGTTTTCCGTGAATATAAATGTTGATTTTTAAGGTATTAAGGTGAAAATGAAAGACAATACCTCTCTGAATAATTTCGCTGCTAAGTTATAAGTATTCTTCGGACATCTTCAAAATCAATTAATGAACTATTTGTCAATTGGAAATAAGTTGATATGTCGAATGTTTTGACCATATTGAAAAAGGTAGTAGTGTTTATTTTCTTCTTTAAAGTAACATGAAATATTGTTTTCACGTAATACAAAATTTAAGGGGTGTGGGTGGGCGTGGGCGCCGGTGAACATAAGAACTAAATCCACACCGACACCCACATCCACGCCCACCCCACACCCACACCCACACCCACCCACACCCTCTAACCTTCACTGAAGAACCATGTAAAACTAACTGTCGTTGTTTATGAAATTTTGTTATCATTGAATTCAATCTTAATAATTCATTAAATACATATTCATCTGTACTTAAGATAACATGCCGTTGTAACCAATCTAAACGTAAACTATTCTCTTATTTACATATTTGTTTATTAATTTATTCATTTAATTGACGTGCATATTTATATGCCTGCTGTATGTATCGAGAATCAGGATGATTTTATATTGTACTTATATTTAAGAATTTTTTCAATTAATAATGGATAACATGTTGTATTAGTTATCTTAAAAAACCATTTAATGATAAACCATCTGTTTTACTTTGAAAAGAATTAAAATATATGAGCGACATGGTTCATTAAAATCAAATTAAGATTGTAAATAAGTATCAGTCATATATGGGAAATGTGAACAAAGAATTTCATCTACACGTATAGATTCATTTATTGTCATAGTTGATGATAAATGAATGGATTGAGAAACAATATTATCATGTGAATGTTCAATACTTATTAGACATATTATTGTTAAATTATTAGTTGGTGGAAAACGATAAATATGTTTAGTTTCACTATGATATTTTAATTGATGAACAGGAGATGAATCACATATTTGAGAAATCAAGGACTGAGGATGTTTTTGTCGTCAACATAGTTACTTGGTGCCTGAAAATAAATCAAAAGAATTAAATAATATATTTATATCGCAAAATATTAATACTAACTTGTGAAATCGTTGCAAAATTTGACATAGATATTGAACGAGGTGTTCGAATATATATATATCAGTATTTGAAGCGACTATTTGTTCTTTTTATTGTACTTATTTTTGTAATGTGGATAGAGTAACAGTATTACATGCAATTAAACTAAATCAATTACTAAATAATTGTTCAATTTCATAATCATTTAAAATTCGACCATTACTTAATGGTTTAATAAATTCATTAGCAAAAATATGAAGATCACTAATATATCGTTGTTCAGTTTCAATTAATTCTTGAATAGCTGATATATGTGATGAATTATTTAATGTTTTATGAGACAATATATCAAATACTAGTGTTGATAAATCAACAATTAATGTAGTTGTTGAATCATCACAAAATGAATGTTGCGAAAAATCAGCTGTTGTCGGTGTATATGAAATTGATGATGCTGAAGGAATATTATTTAACTTGTATTTCTTTACACTGACCAACAATTATTACTGAATCTGATATTGATAGTATCCATTATTTAAAATCAGTATAAAAATATTCATTCATTTCCGTGGTTGTTTTTACTACATTCCATATGGACTTAAATGAGTAGATATTTTGATTGTTTATCATTCATCAAAACACTATTGCTTTTTTCTTTTCGTAATAGAATCAAAAATTTCTAAAACCTATTCAAGTCTCGCTTCTGTATAATTAGTTAATTGTGCCCTTTTAAGAAAGAATTTTTTTCTAAATTTTTCTTGAGAATGCTTATTTGTTCATATTTCGTTTGTTCAAAAAGCGCATATTTTTTCATATCTTGCATTGTAGAAAGGACGTATTTGTAAATATTTTGCATGCTTAAAAAGAAGGTGCCAGACCTTTAATGTGTACCTACCTACTATTTATCAAATAAATTATCAATCATCATCAGTGTTGATATACAATATATACAAAGCACATGTAAATCGTTCATTCGTCCCACTACACTCGGTTGTATGGACGCGCTTGCAGATGTTATGGTATTTTCTTCCATTTTTATTTCAACTATTCACTATGTAACTAAATTTTTTGAGTTTATAAACCATATGGGAATGATATACAACACACTTAATCATCTACATATAATTGTATAGACCAGATATTCGTCAATCAGCGAAAAAACGTCTTCACGACTGTCAGCTCGATACCATCTTGCATCAATCACGACTTTGTACAAAAACAGGCGTTTTCTTGTACATATGCTTAAGTATCATCTAAAAGTAATTTGTCCTTTTATTCATAAAATAAAAGAAAGTCATCAATAAAATGATGATAATTCAAAGATGGAGAAGTACGAAGATAATTCTTGAATTCTGATAATTATATATAAGATTTCTAGATTATAGAGTGATAAGGGTTTGGTGCTTCTTGTTCCTCATCGCTCCATATCTGAATAAAGTGCAGAATGCCTGGAAATTCATTGATCGAATAGAAAAATTTATATTTTCATTCAGATTTTATTGTATAAACTGATTTTTGTAATGCTGATAGAGAACAGCGTAAAGTTTTATTCAATAATACGAGTTTCTCAAATGTTTTTACAAAGTAACAGTTATGTGTTGAATGCACAACTGAAGTATATAATTGCCATAGACTACAGTTGGATTCTATCAAAATTCGACCCTTTTTTTCTAACTTTTCAGCAACATGTCCGTCATCATCACATAATATCAACAATAAAATAAAAAAAATTCATATATCTTCATTCTTTATTCACTTGGCTCTAAATATATAAAAGTTGTCTATATTGTGTTACTTTTTTTTTTTTTGGTATTGTTTTCGGATGATGATGAACGTGTGCATTTAGAAGCCAATCGAAAGCACACATACATCACATCTTCGTATAACAAGAGTTGGAATTTAATGCGAGTTTGTTTCAATGAAAAACCAGTTCGTATATTTTCAGCTTGGAATGTTGCAAATCTTGACGAAAGATATTATCAGCTTGTTTAATTCGAACTTAATCTATATGAAAAATCTAGTTCTGTAAATATTTTTATTTCAAAAATATAAATTTATTCTGAACTTTTCATATCTATAATTTTGCAAGGAACTAACAGTCACATGTTACTAGAATTCTTCTCAGCATTTCACTGTCGTATTTATTCATTGAAAACTTTTATCAAATAAAAAAGAGATGAACTCATCGAATGAACTAAACAAAATTATATCATATAATTTCTTTCTTTATGAAATACACGAAAACAAAACAAAAATTTAACAAAAAAATTGTTCTAAGAAAGTTTTGATACTTCATCAGCTAAATCAGCTTGGATTTTAGCAACTTTAACGTGGTTCAATGGTATTTAGGTGTTGGTGTGGCTGTGGTTACCGAAGAGAACGAGACTTACACTCACACCCAAATTTTACAATTACCTATTTTTATGCGTGAACACTTGTGACTTTATTAAGTTTTGTGAAAGATGTAATTATTCACGAAAACACATTGAGATTTTTTTCCATTGATGACTTTTTTCTCTGTTTCGCCATGGACGGTATTGTCATGACCGTCGGCTCAAGCACTTTTACTTGGTAATAGTTTATTTTATCCTTATAACCAGCAGACTAAAACAAAATCTATCACATTCAGAATGTGTTCTAGTCTATTGTCTAACCATTCATTCACTGTTTTGCCTTACGCGCGCAGCTACATATAGCTGTCTTGATTGAGCATGCGGAACTTCTACGTCAAAATTAAATTTACGAAGAATTTCTTAAACAATGAAATAATTTCCTATTATTTAAAAATAAGTCCAAATTTTCATTTGCATTATTTAGCAGTGTAGTTAGTACTTTTCGTAACCTAATTTTACTCTTCAATTATCTTCACATGCACGATTAATATTTGTCCGATAGATTCGCATTCTTGCCAATTGTTTTTTGTGCTTCATATTTGTGCGTTTAGTTTTGGTCAATTACTTTTAAAATTAGAACGTTCAGAAATTCTGAGTTTTATCTCATTTGATGACGCATCAAACTACAATATTTACACTTGCTATTGCAGGAAACTTGTTTGAAAAAAAAAGGAGAGTTTGACATTCAACCCTAGTCGAGAATCACTTAATGAATCCCTGGGGAGTCTCTAGGGAAAATCCCCGGGGATTCACGATAGGGAGTCCCCGGAGATTTTTCGTGGAGACTTCTAGAGGAGTGTAAAGATTTCTATGAGAATTTCTAAAGAGTTGATAGGTGCCAAAAGTGACATGTTCACTTTTTTCACAATCACTTTAACATATTGTTGAGTTTGTATCAACCAAAATCCATTTTGTCCAAAAAAATCTGTGTTTTGTCACAACAGATTTGCACACTTCAGGCGTTCAGCAGATCTTGTCTCAGCGCATGAGTCACGCGAGTCAAATGCTTACTCACGTCAAAACGATGAGTTATCGCTGAGTTGACTTCGGTAGGAGCTCAAATGATTTTTATCACTTAGACAAAAATGACGTTAAAAGTAAACAACTATTTCATTTGAAATTTGTTTTTCTTATATACTTTCATAGGCTCAAAAGAAAGTGGTGAATGGACTCCTGCTCTTCTTCATAAATCCCTAGGGAGTCCTGCAGGTGGGTGGGACTCACTCAGGGGCGTACCCAGGGGGGGTGCCCTCAGGTGCCCGGGCACCCCCCTCAGCCAAAAAAAGCCTGGAGGGGGGTACGGGTAAAAGATTTTTTCGGGAAACAAAAATTAATTTTTCTGCTAGTATCTAGCCCCATAATGAGTCGGGCACCCCTCTCAGAAAATTCCTGGGTACGCCCCTGGACTCACTGGAGAGTTTTTCCTATTCTTCTACTTCTTAGCATTCGGGAAGTTATCAGGGAATACCCAGTGACTTCCTGGGTATTTTTAATTATTTAAGGGACTTTCCAGTGAGTCCCCGGAAATTTTGCACTTTTCCGAGGACTCCCTGGGGATTCGTTAAGGGATTCTCGACTAGGGAAAGAATTCTTCCAAAGTCTTTGATATTCATCGAGCGGCGACATCTGATGTGAGAAAATATAATCGATCACTCGTTTGTCAGTTTCAACTCTTATATAGACATTAATTATACATGAAAAATGTTTTATTTAAAAAAAAAATGTTTTCTTTATACTAAAAATGTTTCGAACACCTATTTTGGGATCGGACCAATAAGCTTACTTGACTGATGTCAGTAGTTTACTCTCACTTGATCGTTCTTGGAATGACGGTTCTTTTCTTCATTTCACACTCAATAACCTCAACAAGTTTTCTTTCTCTCAATTCATTCTTATTGTATTCACTTTTTCTACTGAAATATATTCTAATCGTCTTCATACTTTAGACCAAAACTTCGTTTTTCATTTATTTAAAAGCTATGTCTCATTCGAATATTACTCAAGGAATGTCGCATGGTGATACCAATTCCGAAGGCAATCCGTATCATGGTACTGCTTGATTTATTCAAATCGAGAAAAAAATATTTTTGTTTTGTCGATCATTTACATGTAGAAAATATAGACAAGAAAGCAAACAAGGAAGATCATCCACGTACACACCCCAAGAATTACGAGCAACAGCTATCTGATGATAAAAAGTCTGCTCAACATCATGGTCCTGAAATTCAGGTATAATAATTATCTCTATTCAAATTATCCATCTCATGGTTTTTTTTTTCTTTCCTAGGACGAAAAGGTGCGTAAAAAAAGAAGCATTGTCATCTAATTCGATAAGTAGCATTCGTTTTTTATGTTCCTCTTTTCTAGGATATCAAAGGTGGTGCAGAGAGTAGCACGGGTGAACGTGGTGATCATAAGAAGTAAGAAATAGTGTTTGAGAATTGCTTTATTATTGCTTTCTTTTCTTTTAGACATCATGAATGAATAGACATGACTGCAAGCAACAATTTAATCAAGCATGAAAAAATTTTTCTTACTTTTTCTTGTTATTTTTTGCTTCAATAAAAAACACCTCAAGTTTGCAAACAGACAAAATCTTTCTATCTATTGCATAAGTCATATTTCAATAGATGGTAATTGATTTTACTTGTTACATAGATCTATTATTCAAGATAAAAAAATGAATGATTCTAGATTAAATGCATTTGTGATAGTAGAAGAATCTAGAATTTGATTGAGAATGTCATCATAGTGATTATAGATTTTTTTTCCGGTTTAACCCGCTTACCACTACAGTCTTGATTTGGACTAAAGTGTGAAATTCACATTAGAAAGCGGCACCAACAAAGAAGAACATAAATATAAAGGGTCAACATTTTTTTGATCACCAAAAAGTTGAGTTTTGATCACCAAATTTTTTATCTGCGAAATGATCACAAAAAAATGAGTGTTTTGATCACCAAAATTAATCAAGACATGTATCAATTAGAGTGGAAGAGTTAACATAATGTTGAGAATGAGAATGAGAGTGAGCGTGAGCTTCTCGATGAAGATAATATAAATGCTGTGTAAAAGAATTTAAAATTAGAATAAAATCGCTTATTCCGTTGTTAAAAATCGAATAAATCAGCCCCGTTCC